TTACTGTTGTAATACACTATTAAGTAATAAGTAACTGATTGCTATTATTTTTTCACACAAAGTGATTTTTTGTTAAAAATACATTCCCTGAGAATCATTTTCTTTCTTTTTTTTTTTTTTTTATTTTTAAAAGAAAAAGATTTGACTCAAATAAAGAAAAATTAAACCTAAAAACCCTCAAGAAAACCATTATTTTCTTAAAACTCTTCTTGGAGGGAAGATTCTCTTCTCAATGTGATATTGGCTTTTCCTCCCAGTGGGAGACAGCTTCCCTCTTGCCAAAGATTAGGAAGTGGATAAGAAAAGGATAAGACAGAACTCCAACATATTTTCTTCCAATAGTAGAAGGTAAAGGAAATTATTTCCCCTTCTTAGACCAACTAACGTTGCTTTTCTCATCACTGGTATAAATTAAAATATCAGCTAAGAAATAATAATGTCTCTAGCAAAAGATATACAGAAAAGGTTCCCTAAGAAGTTTTTTTGAGGAATAAAACTTCCATAAATAAACAATATGAAAACAAGTAATATATATATATATATATATATAAATTAAATCAATTCCTACTTAGGTCAACAAAGAAACATTTTATTTTAGTTACTTTTTATAAAATAGTTACAATTAATAGAAGTATGTATATACATATGACAGAATCACAATATTAAGAGACAAAATAGAAAGCGATTGTCCTTGCAATTTTCCATTTTCTATTCTATATAGGGTGTAGGACTATTATTTTTGTTTGTTACTATTTATTCATTTATTAAATTTAATTAATAAATAGAAAAATGAAAAATCTTCATTAACATCAAGTGCCATCCACTACAAGTTTAAAAAAAAGTATTTGAACTTGAATGGATGCATAGAAAGTGTTTTACTAACGACTGAAAATTTAACAAGATATATGTATATATATATATATATATATATATATATATATATATATATATATATATATATATAATATATATACTCTATTATTATATATATATATATATATATATATATGTATATATATATATATATATATATATATTATGTATATATATATATATATATATAAAAATAGCAAAACAGGCAAAATTCTCCATGAAATATTTGCATGAAACAATAAAAATTATATCCTCAAACCATTCTTAAAAATGCAAATCCTTGTTGAGAAAATGAAGATAAAAATTTATTCAGTCTATAGTTTTAGATTTTGAAAATCTCTTTAACTCTATGTAATATTGATGATTTGATTAATATTCTTGTAAATTTACATAAAGACAATTTATTTAATAATGTTAATTTTGATAGATTTGGTTTACTTAGGTTTTTACTTAAAAAAACTATATATATCATAAAAGGAACTATTATCAGCAGATTAAGGATTGCCCCAAGGTGGCCCCGGACAACTGTCTTGCCAATTTTTTTACATTTTTTTGAAAGTAGTTACTTTAATTCTAAATTTTTTATTTATCGTTATATAGATGATATAATCATCTTTGGCAAACAAGCCAATTTTATACCTAACATTAAATTTTTTATCCACAATATCTTAATTTAATACAGACAAATAATAAAAAAAAATGAACAAATTTTTTCTTCTACATGTCAAATTATTAAATTTAAAAGTTTCTAATATTTATGATAAAAAAAAGAAATTTTAAATTTTAATATTATGTTCCTCATTGGGGAAGTAATGTACATGTTTCTATATTCAGAAATAATGTTATTAATTATATACAACGTAATAAATTTCTTTTGTCAAAAAATCAGACATTTTAAATAACTATACACATTTTACTAAATATTGCAAATCAGAAATACCCAATTTATTTTATTAATAGTTTATAAATAAAAATATTCAAAAAAGTTAGAAATAAAATTTTTAGATTGATAATACTTATTACTATAAACAAATATTTTGATATAGTTATTCCATAGTCTAATATTAGATTAGAAATTACTTATATTATTTTATTCTATTTACTCTGGTGTTATTATGTTATGCTATAATATGCAACTATTTTTTAATTTTTTTTTTCCATTTGTAATCTTTTTTTAAAATTTCATTTCAGCCACCTTTTGATTTAAATCTGTATTGGGGGATAGAATCTGGAAAAATTGAATGTTTCCTCTCAGAATTAGCGCGGGGTTTGCATTTTAAAAGCAATTTTTAGGTTTACCTCTATCTTGAATGGATTTAGATATTTCTATCCATTATTTTTCCCTTTGGTTTTTTCTCAGTGTTTTTTTACAAAAAAGGGGAAGGTTGGTGGCCAAAAACATGTTCAACCCCCCTTTTATATAAATTAATTTTTTTATACAACTGTCTAAGTCAGTATTGTTCATGGGTAGCATCCATTTTATATTTATTATCTCGATTACTCTTTGTCCTTCATTGTGTGATTTTCCTGCTGTCTATGTGTTTTCGAGTTTATTGTTTGGGTGTGATCTCTTGTTAGTAGAGAATTGACCTATATATATATATATATATATATATATATATATATATATATATATATATATAATTTAACTCAGTCCGCAACGAAGGGGCCAAAGCCTAGTCCCCCTTTCGTTAAAGCGATCTTGGGGCCCTGAGATTTATTAATAGAAGCTTTTTTAACAAAATAAGATTTTTAAAAATTGGTCGTTCTATGTTCATTTTGTCAAAATATTGTACTTTAATTTTTTTTTTAATACTATTCTTAAAACAATTTTTATATATTTTTAACCCAAAGTGACCTAAATATCATAAATAATATCCATTTATACGCTTTTGCAAAATCACGGTTCCGAACGTAATCGGATACCTTAAAGCGAAAACGCTTATGACGAAAAATTGGTTTACACGAATTAATGCACCTATCCTGACATAATATGTATTTGTATGCATTTTTTTTATTTACACGGAATGAACACGAAAAGAAACTCCTTCTGAGATTGAATAAAATAAGGAAAACATAATCGAATTGGAATGTCCTACTGTATCATTAGATAATTCGTTGCTGTAGATGATAACAATATCTGCACAGCTCCGATTATGGCAGAGAAAGACATTTTGGAGTTTGTTCATAGAGCTCAAAAAATATCATTATTGCGGAATCCTACGACGAAAATGAAATGAATAATGCAGCTAATTTTTCTCATATCATCCAAAATCAGGAACATTATGAAAAATAAGCACAGTTATTCAGGCATACATTCCAATGGTGAAATAAATTAAAAAAATAGTTGACATTGATCAATTGTTGACAAATCAATGGCAAAAAAGACAGTGCAAAGAAAAATATCCGCTTATTTTTAAGAAAAGACTTTAAGATCGTTTATTAAATTTCTTTAAATTCTTGTGAATGTTTTTGTTTCTTTGGGTTTATTAAATACATGCAAAAATACTAGTACATTTAAACATTCGGGACTACGGCCTTGTGCGACCAAAATAATACCTGAATTTAAAACTTTTAAATGCATTCTTCCAATCCTCCTCTACCTGGCCAGGTTTGTTTAGTTCATGTCATATGACCGAACCTCACGTGCAGCAGTTATCTTTCGAAGCTAGTTAACTTTGTTCTGCGATGTAAGAAAGATAGCATGAAATTTCGTCAACGCTTAGGTTCAAACTATGACCACAAGACGACTGCTACCTTAAAATAATGTGAAAAAATAAGACCCCCCCCTCCGCAAAAAAAAATTATCAGCTGCATAAAGTTGAAAAAACATTGGACCCAAACACATTTTCATTGGTAATGCACCATAAAATGTCCAGGTATTAATTTTCCGGGGCCATTAAAAAAATATGTTTTAATGTATTAAAACTCTCGCAATTCTGCTATTTAAAAAAATTATTGTTAGCTTATCTACCATTAGTTTTCTTTTATAAATCATATATATTTAAAAAGCATATTTTCTTTCAAAGCATTTCTTCTAAACAATAAAAATGCCCGCTGTTAAAAGCGTGAAAATGAAAAATAACAACCACGAAAAACTCAATCATTTTTTTCCAAGAAAGAAGAAAAAAAATCTCACAATAGTATTCGATTTCTTTTTCTATAGACAGCCATTTTTCTGTTGATAATTGAGAAAAGAGGAAAGAAGGGGAAAAAAGCTAATTCCAGGATTATTTTTCTCTAAAAAGGAGGGACGAGGGAATTATTTTCCAACTTTTACGACATCGAGCAGAGCTGCCGTTGTTAATGTGACAAAAAAAAATTGTAAGAAAGAAAAAAATGTGTATTCAACAAAGAATGTGTGATAATTATGCAAGATTCGGTGGCTTTATTAACATCACATAAGAAACATGAGGGAAAATGCATATTCGAGGCTCATAATTTTTTTAACCTTAGTGAAACGACACAGTAAATATCTCATTGAATACCTATTTTTTCTTTTACAATTTACACATCCCACACCCATCATCAAAGATTACTTTTAACACTCTATTCCACTTAGCGTTAAAGTAAACAAAAACGCTTAGCAAATTGAAATATTTTGGTTAAATAAAAGTGCATTGTGATCCATAGATAAGCGTTTAAAATATGGATTATATCAATCTTAAAAGGATACGCTGGGTTTTTACATGACTATATAAAAGCTATATATATATATATAGTCGTAAATATATATATATATATAATCTCTTTAATATCATTATTAATTATTGATGGTCCATTCCTTCAGGACCCAAGTTTAATTATTTTACTGGCTTACCTGTATAATCGGGATAAAATTGTAATCGAATTTAAGAATTAACAGCTTGTAAATTTTCAAGATAAGATTGCGTCAGAAACTATCGAGTGGTAGTCAAGGAATCATAGCATCCATTAGAAAAAGTCACGTGACATTCACCGCCTCGCTCGTATAAATAGGGAGAGTTCATTGTCCCTTTCTCTTTGTTTTCATAATGAGTAAATAAATTCAGCCTGTTTTTGCTTCTTGCTTGATGTCGAAATGGTAAGTGTTGTTCAGTAATTTTTACATAGGTGTGTGTGATCGTCAGCATTCTCAGAACTTAGGCCATCCCAGTTGGGATTCGAACGCAAGATCTTTGGATGAGAAGTCCAACGTGCTCTCCTTTGCACTACAGGGACACAACGAACGATTTTCATTTCTATATGTACTGTTGGACTATTGTTTTTGTTTGTTACTATTCATTCATCAATTAATTAGAATTAATGAAGCAATATTTGAACAATCTGTATTAACATCAAATGCCATCCACTACAAGCTTAAAAAATTCTATTTGAACTTGAGTGGATTAATGAAATGTGAGTGAAAAAAAAGTAAAAAGTGAGTGTGATCTAACAGTAGGAATATAAAAAAGTTAAACTATATAAAGTTGAAGGGGGTCATTCAATAAGCATCTTATTTTAAGTTACTCTACTAAAATTTTATATCAAGTGATTTTCACAATAGTAATTCTATTTTGTACAATAGGTAGTACAAGTTCTAATTGTTCATACATCTCTGAAGAGGAGGTAGAAGAGGAGGACAAATATATAAGCTAAATCTTTATCTGATGTAAGTAAATCCTTCCCATGCACTATTAACGTCTTTTTTCCATTTGGGATAGTTTTACAGATAGCAGTGCAAAGAAAATAATCATATCTTTGTAGGACGTATATGTACGTCCGGGGCACTCAAGCACTGGTTGAGATAGACATATATACACGCCGGAGGCAATTAAGAGTTTAAGAATGAATGGAAAGTTTTGTATAAATTATAAGCAAAGGATATTTCACTTCAAAATTAAAATATATCTGAAAACTCAATGCGTAAAATATGTAATTTTTTTAAACAGTCATAGTTAACTATATATTACACAAAACAGATGTGCTTTTAAATGAGTATTAAAAAGGAATAACGACATTGGTTTTGAAGACTTATAATTCTTTATTAAACCAACATGAACATAAAGTAGAAAAAATTGAAAATAAAAGCTTAAGAAAACCATTATTTTAATTGAAATATTTGAAGAAAAGAAAATCTACCCCACATGTTATTGATCCATATTTTTCCCTCACTACAAGATCTTTTTTCTGTCAAGGATTAAGAAAAGTGGTAGGGATCAAAAAGAATTTTAGGATGTTCTCTCTTAAGAGTGTTGGATTCAAGGGATTAGTTACCATCTAGAGTAAACCATATGATGTTATTTGGCCTCAATCGGTACACGTAAAAGTATAATCGGGGCAGTCCTGATTGCAGACAGGGATTAAAAGAAAATTAATTGGGGATTTTCGTACTTTTTTCCAGATTGACAATCTTCTAGAATTTTAAAATGTTTTCCAATTATCTTCAAGTATACTTCTACTAATATAAAAAAAAACGCTTCTTACGATGCACTAATTGCATCGAGTTTTATAATTATGTACGGATTGCATTAGGTTTTCGTTTTTATTAAAAAAGTGGGTTTGGAAAATAAAATGGAAATATTCGTAAGCTTAAAATAAAGGTTGAAGATTGTCAAAAGTGTAATTCTGAAATTGAAAGGCAATCGAAAAAACACAATCACTTTCACCATAATTTTGAAAAAAAAAATTCTGAAGTTTACTGGATTATTTTAAATATGCATCAACATTTACTTACTAAATATAAAGTAATTTATTCTGTTGTGTTGTTATGTATGTGCCACCTGTTTAACGTTGTCAGATCGAGGCCCATGAAAATCATCGTGGTAAAGGGCTAGATGTTCGCCTGTCGGTAGACGTAGTTTTCAGCACCATACAGGTGGCAGTACGTTTTGTCTCAGTACAACCCTATTTTGAGAGAGAATACTCTGGGTGATCAGAAGTCTCCCCCCTCCTCTTCCCCTTCCACAAACCTCATCATAGGACTTGCTGCTTGACGGCTATTTATAGTATCCCCATGACGCCATGGAATTGTACGTTTAAAAACATATACGCCATCTCCGGGATTCGAACCCATGCCTTACGGTACAACAACCAGTGTCACTAAACACTATAGCGTATGGGTGATAAATTCAATCTAATACTCAATAATAAAGTTGATTTTTGAAGTGATGGACGACAGTAATTATACCAAATATGGTAGATTCGGATTTGATGTCAATGAGTCCCTTGCTCCCAGTGATACTTTGTGGTGCACAAGGATTTATAAATGTTTTCAATAATTATTAATTTAGGTTGAATAAAACAGACAACAAATATCATTAATAAAAGTTAAGGACAAAGAACATGGATGGTTATTAATAGCGACTACATTTTTCCATCACTTAGGCTGTATCTAAGAACAGTCTTCCCTAGAGGGCCCTTCTGCAGCTTGGGTGAGTCAGTTACTCTTAAAGAGGGGTTACATACAGAAATTCCCATACAATATACAGGGTGATTCATAAAGCATACAGTTTTAATTCACTCTAAATCAAGAACAATTTAAGGTATTCTATGCCACCTATAACAGTTGTGTGGGATTTTTAAAGTTTTGTAAGAGAAAATGCTAGATGCTCCATGTTTGAACCCTTAGTCACACGACACACATTGAGACGCTAATCCCATTTTTGCCCAAACGCGCGTCAAGTGTATCTGAATTAAGTTCAGTGATAGCGGTTATGATACCCTATTTCAGCTCCACTAGATCAACAGTAGGGGTAGAGAAGAATGCCTTGTCCTTTACGTACGTCCTTTACGCTGCCATTTCAGCGCATGCAACACATGCAAAATCGAGGTTGTAAACTTGGAGTGGTATCTTAATCGATGACATTGTTGCGATAGTGCGTAGTAAATTTATTACAGCATTATTATAAACTTTTTTATATGTAAAGATGGAGACATATCTAATTAATCAATATAAATGAAAAATATCTATAACTGAATGTACATAAAATGCCCTCTATAGTTAAAACAAGTTGTGCAAAAAGAATGCTACTTTTTGTATATGCAGGTCAAATTAACCTCTCTGTATCATTTTAAATAAACTATTAAATATTTTTAAAAAGGCTTTAGAATAATCTTTCCAAAACATAAAATTATCTTTTACACAAAATTTATCATATATTCAAACAAAAATTATGTGAAAAAGCTAATAATTTAAATAAAATGTCCTGAAAATTCATCAGTCAAGAAGCAGAGCAGATGTAAAGGAAGCAAAATACGCTTCACCCCACTTATCGTCGGGAGAAAAATCTTAAGATAATACATGTTTGATTTTCCCCCAAGAATCCTTTCTTCAACAGAGGATTAAGGAAACAGGTAAATCCAAGGAATTCTAGGATATTTTCCCCTAGGAATATCGGTTGTGGGGATTATTTTTCACAGCAAACCAGACCCTGTCTCTCAGCAGATCAGATAAATACATTTTTTTACTGTGGAACAAACAAATACATCTGCTGCTATGGGTAGAAAGGAGAATTTTTAACTTATTTCTTCAATCTATAAATTCACTGAGAAGTAAAATGTTGTGCTTTACTTAGAGTGTGTGTATTCTACTTGAAAATAAAAGATAAGAAACAATAAACATTTTTATTGCTTTTTTGCACCTGTTTACATGAAGAATAATTAGCCATTAAGGGGTTATTGTTTCCGCTATCATAAAATTGCACTGTAGCAATTTTGCTCCAGGAAGCTGCAAAATCGACTTCTTTATCTGAATATCAAACACCGTCCACATGCACACTTACACCCAAGAAGTATTGCGGGGTCTTTTATTTGATTTCACCCCGACAACCGATTACATTGAGAAAAACACCACGCCGCAAACGAGCCGGAATCTAGACTGAAAATCGAGGTGTAAAGGCCGTTATCACACGTATATTTTTCGTGCAACTTTTTCTCCCAGTTTTTCCTCCAATCTGAGGGTGAAGAGTTGCCATAAACAAAACGGCATGCTCTGACGTCAGCCGCACTCTATCTCCACATTGAAAAATTACTCGCTGAGTTTTCTGCTTAGGAAAACGAACATCTCATATTATTTCTTTTATTTCAATCGAGCTTTTGTTGACGGGGAAAAAAATGGAGCACCATTATGTTTCAAATATTATACTCCGTCAGAATCTTATACACCATTATACCGTTAATGTTATACGCCGTTAAATATTATACGCCACATGTAGTTGAGTTTGACGAGACCGAAGCCACCATCTTAATTATGGCGTAGGGCGCCAAGGAATCCCATAGGCTGGAATTTCAAGCAACTTTTATTTAGAACAAGTTTTTCAGCTCACTGGGAAAAAGTTGCTGGGAGCCGTTGTTATGGCAACTAGGTAGAAATTGTTCGAAATTGGTTGGAAAGTTGCTCGAAACGTGTTCGTGAGATAAGGCCTTAAGAAATGCGACCACCCCACCCCAACCGAGTGGAAATAGTCCCCTATAAAATACTGAAAAGTACACGGTTCTGTTTACCTTAACTTCACAAAGGACGTACTGCGTAGTATTGAAATAATCGATAGTATGAGTAAATTCTATTTAAATGTAAATATTGTATTTAATAGCCGTGGACGTAAATAAATCAATTATTTAAATTCTTAACCCTCACGCTACTCATTAAATTGCCCAAATGTCACCGTACCTAGCCCCTTTTAATTGCTTACTTTAATTCAAAATAAACTCAGTTTTCAGGACCACGTTTCAAAAGCAGTAGAAATTTCTCTCATAATTCGTATTGGATGATAAAACATACGAAACACAAAATTTTAGCAAAGCTTTATCAATCGATTGATGTATCATGATAACTTACGTGTAATCAGGAACTCGAGAATTGAAGTATAAAAAAATTGTTAAGAGTCTTACGCGACAGTTGTGAGGCTATCATGTTTATCTTGAGAACTGTTTTACAATCATCCCCCCTCCCCCATTTTGACATGATAATTTTGTCAAATGATTCTTCCTGATAAAATGTTTGCACAATATAGAGAATTTAGCGCAAATAATTCGCTTAATTTCTCAATATAGTAACTTTACAACAGGGGTGGCCAACCCAGATGACTTCGCGGGCCACTTCGGAAGAAATTTATGATCCCGAGGGCCGCATATAAAAATATATATCTTTATATTAGATTTGGATCCATTACAAACATTTGTTGGAGAGAAAATTTAAAACAGACTGATATATTATTATTGTTTTCATTGTTTTTCATGCA